TGTATATATGTAATATATCAGTTTCTAATATATAGAAAGTCACAGTATGGTACTCCATTCCAAATACCTGCCTTATGTGTGCTAGTCATCTGTATTTCATTTTTGCTATTACTTACTACCAAATTTATTTAGGGGTAGCATTTGCCTTTTTTTAACTTTGAGATTTTATTAAAATTTTATCTTTTATACTTATATACGCGTATGTATGGTTTAGGGGAATCCACAACAGTAAGACTCTAATAACCATTGAGTTCAGAGAGATTTCCCCTTTCTGCACCCTGGTCTAATTTGTCTTTGTATCATTGTCAGAATGATGTGAAATTTATGTTCTTTCAAGCTTTATGTGGATCATAGGTGGTGGTTAACTCTTGGATTTTTTTAAATTTATTTTTTTATTAGTTCTTGGTGTACAAAACTAACTCTTGGATTTTTCAATTCATGGAATTAAATAAGTTACTTTGGGTTAGATGAATTGATTTTTGGTACTATGTACTTTAACTTCCTTAGTGATGGTTAAACATTTAATCAAAAGGAAATGATTCCTATGGAAATAATTTTATTTTCTTATCACTTTACTTCTAGGTAATTATTACAACATCAAAAATCTCCTGAATGAGGAAAGTGTTCTTCTTTTTACTCAGATAAAAAGATGAAAGATGAAACACAGTTTAAATACGTGTGTGTATATATATGTACATATATAACAGTTTGTGCAGTTTGGACATTTAGTTTGTAATTATTTACGATGTTTTAAAATAAAATTTTATTCAGTTTTGTGTGTACTTATATCTGATAAACATTTTAATCTCCTTTATGTGTCTTCTAATTTATCCATGAATATATACATAGCCTGCAATGATGCCCATATTCATAGTATTTTAATACCATGCAAAGAATGCCAAAATCACTGCTCCCAGTGTAATGCAGGACATTTCTTTGTCAGAAAAACCATGATAATATGTCCAATCATTTAAAAACCTTTTCCAAATGCTAGTTTTCAGTCACTAATCAAAATAATCCAATAATAGAGAACTGGTAAATGGTACATCTGTATTACTCTCCTAGGCCTATCGTGACAAAATAGTACAAACTAGGTGGCTTAACACAGCAAATTTATTGTCTCACATTTAAGAGGCTTGAAATCTGAAATTGATGTGTTGGTAGGGCCCTGCTCTGAAACCTGTAGGTTTCACGATAGTGCTGCTTAGAACCTATTTTTCTATTAACAGGAGAGTCAGTGTGAAAGATATTACAGAATGACTCAGGCTTGCTGCTTTAATGTTACCATGCACTAAAGATATGTAGAAAACTATAGAGATTTAGGGCAAAAAATGGTTAAATGTCAGAAACAAATTGCTAGAATCTATTCCTGAACTTATTTTATGCATTCTCATATTAACCCAAAAAATCTTAGTTCCATTTGTCAGAATAATAATTCAACAGTATGCTTTAAATTTTGCTTTTATTAAAAAAA